ATGTTTTTTCTGACAGACACAATTAAAGATGCTTCAAACCGTCAAAACCCCTCCCATGGTGATTACCTTTCCTATGAAGCAGAATAAGCTTTTCTCCACCTTGAAACTCCTTAAACCAGGTACTTCAAAACAAAACAAAAAGGCCAATTTGTTTTTGAAATATTGAAATATTAGATCTAATATTTGGTTTTGGTAGGTGTTAATAAGTAGACAAAGGATTCTTCTTGTCAAAGAAGATAAGTGTTTTTGTTTTTTGAGAGATTGTGTTTGAAAGTTGGGTTTGTTTTTTGAAAATTTGAAACTTGTGTGTTGAAATAGGTGTATGAAGATGAGTTGCTGCCAAAAATATGTAAAGGAAGAAAACAAACTGTTGGCTTTCATGGAGAAGATTACTCCTCTTGTCAATGCATTCGGGACCCTCTTCACTTTCGTGGGTGTGCTAGTTGAGATCATCAAGTTGTTTGCGAAGAACAAGAAAAAATGAAGTAAAGTTTCTCTTTTGATGATTTTAGGTTTTTTGCTTTTGAGAATTCTCACTTTAAGATTTGTGAATCTGTGAATCTTTGCTTAGTTGGTTACATCTCTCAAGTGTGGGTTTTGGAATTTCAGTAGTTGCAGATTATATGTTGGAAATCTTAAGATCTCTTTGTTGCACAAATAATGTGCCATCACACCTATAAGACAAAAACAATACAAATATCTAAATTATATATCTATATAACCATAAACAATAGAAACATGACAAAGATAAGAACAATATTGTTCTACTTACCTCATACACAAACATTGCTATTGTGTATGAGCTTTAGATCCTTTAAAGTTCTTGATCTTTAAACATTATACAAACAATAAATTGATAAAGAAAGTTCTTGAAGTTTAGATCCTTCAAAGTATGTTCAACTATCACTTTTTTTTAGATTGATTAATTACCGTGTACTTTTTTTTTTGCTGGAAAACCTATTATCCCATTTGCTGAGGAATTTGAGGTTCATGAAAAATGAAAGCTAATTTTTTTGTATCATTTTCTTAGCGTCTGGAAATGCAGACTTTCAGACATTTCTTAAATTTCTCTTTGACAAAGGATTTGTCATTCTTAAAAAGAATGTCGCTTCATCTCTATTCAAGATATACTTGATTTTTCTCTCCGATGATAAATGAAAGCGAATCTGAACT